TCCACGGAATATTTCTGATATCCTGTGGATATATTGGATATCCACAAAAGATATTTTGCGGATATCTCTGGGATTTGGTGTGTTGTCTGTGAAGGGGTTGCTGGTTCAAGCCTAAAATATACGTCAAAATAAGATGTCCCCCAAAGAAAATCATCCGACGTGTTTCGGGAAATTTTTCCAATTACTATGGGATAAGAAATATACGGGGTCGCTCGTCTGAGATGGAACACATGCACTGTATAGTTGTGATCCGACAGAATTAAACACTGGTCCATAAATACTGCAAAACGATTGGTTAACGAAATCATTTAAAAAATATGTAAGAATATACTTGATTCAACAAAAGTATAAATACATAAACAACACTAAAAAAACATTTAAAAACAAATGTCCGATTTTGAGATTATATCTAAATTTCTCAAAAATATATTGGATGGAAGATGGCCATAATTCGTGAAATGCAATACTGGTGCCATCTATCAACACTATCGAGTTGCACATATTACTTGTAGAGGCCGAAACTTGATTTTAAACTAACGCACTTTTCTCTCACGCTCATGGAGAAACGATTATTACTCACGTTCAGGCCTCGCAACGAAATGGAGACAGGCGTAACAAAAAAGCTACAAAAAAGTTACAAAAAATGAGCCTGGTCCGAGCTGGTGCCGCTATAAATATCCGCTAAGCTAGCGGATCTGCGCTTTTCTCAGGTTCAGTACAAGCTACAAAAGGGAGACTAGCGTAACAAAAAAGTTACGAAAAACCAGCTGGGTCTGAATTTGTGCCGCTACTATGGAATTTATGGAAATTCAAGCTAGCGGATCCGCTGTTTTTTCGGACCTGGGCAAAGCTACAAATTCGCAAATAGCGTAACAAAAAAGCTACAAAAAACCCACCAGGTCTTGTATGGTGCCGCCACAGAGTGCCCGCTAGCTTGATATAGCCCATTCCAATGAACTGGAGTGGGGTAGAATGCTTGTCAGTAGGCTTGAGATGCGACTCTATGGGCGAAGACAGGTTATTTTTCATCTCACTCGGGAGTATTTATAACGACCATTTTCTATTTCACTTTGTTAATGTCTGATCCACCAGCTTGTGGATTGAACAATAACAATGTGAAACAGAAAATGGTTATTATAAATACTCCCGAGTGAGATGAGAAATAAAAATGGCTGCGCCCATCGAGTCGCATCTTGTTCAATTGATACAATGTGCACATTAGCTTTCTACCCCACTCCAGTTCATTGGCCCATTCCTAACCACTCGCCTCTCTTCAAACATTGCGTTCGGTCTGCCAAGTTCCCGTAACTCCTTTAACACTTTTAACTCCAAACGACCCTTTTAGCGTTCGGTTTAGTCCGATTAGTGACAGTTTAACACGCTTAAATGTCATTTAAAAGCACCCTAAAATTTGTCCCGCTCCAGCCTCTGACTATCCGAACTCGCCTAAAGCGAGCACACTAGTCAAGGACAATGAACTGGAGTGGGATAGAATGCTTGTCAATAGGCTTCACATGCGACTCTGGGTAAGTTCGGTTTGGAACTCGGCGGATCGGACAGAGCGCGCACGGAGTGCGTGACGTCATAGACAGAGTTCGCTCTTTTTACAATCTCAAGACGAACACAAGGGGAATGACATATGACACTAGTGGTAGTTTGCACTTGAATACACTTTTGTGTGTGTCTCTGGACTGTAAAAAAATAATTTTAATCAAATAGCAAATAGTTATAACAAAAACAAACAAGAAATATTACGTGTAAAACTCATTAATCACCGATCAGAAAATTGACATTTGACATTTTTGACACATTCCTACAGATACCCGCTGATCTCCATCGGCCAACTCGAGGAAGAGAGCGCGCTCTGAGTACGTGATCTGTGGCAAGCCGAACACAAAAGAGTACGCTCTGAGTGCCAAGGCGACCACAATCGAGGCATACCGAGTGCACTCTGAGTACAGCGAACGCCAAACCGAACTTAGCCTCTATGGGCAAAGACAGGTTATTTTTCATCTCACTCGGGAGTATTTATAACAACCATTTTCTATTTCACTTTGTTATTGTCTGATCCACCAGCATGTGGATTGAACAATAACAATGTGAAACAGAAAATGGTTATTATAAATACTCCCGAATGAGATGAGAAATAAAAATGGCTGCGCCCATAGAGTCGCATATTGTTCTATTGATACAATATGCACATTGGCTTTCTACCCCACTCCAGGGGACCTATTTTCAAACCGTGTGAGTACTCATTTCTCTCAAGATTCTCATCAGAAATGTCATAAGTCAATGTGGAAACGCTGTTTTTAAAGGCCTCGAGGATTAAAATTCTTAGGAGGATATTAATTATCTCTAAATAAACCGTGAGAAACAATCAGTGAGTTTACACTGGCCCTTAGGACCCTAAAAATACTGTTTTACGTTGACGTATGACATTTCTCTCGAGAGAAATGAATTCTCTCGACTTTGAAAATAGCACCCCTGTTCATTGGTCAAAGATAAGCCTTTTTCGATTTAGCTCGCGCGAGCGGTTCCGGTTGACAAATAAATGACAGCGGTCCTACTAAAATTTGACAGCGGTTGTAATTTGTGACGTAATTTATGACGTTTCTCGAAATGTAAATAGAAAATAGTTGGTTGCACGGTTGGTTGCGAATTTGTAATTTGTATTGACAGTTTGTTATTTTTTGTGTTAGCTATTTTAAATTAATATAACACTGTTAGAAAAACATGAAGAAAGACAAAATAAAAACAGAAAGGCACTTTTTAAAGCACAGTTAAAAATACATACTTCAGTTTTCAAAAGAAAGAAGTGTTACTTTTGTCCTCATAAACAAATACTTGTTCAACGTTTTGTAAAGGAAAGACCTTTGGAAAGCCTCCAATAATATCAGAAGCTGTTGAAGATGTGCAAATTCACATGGTTTAAATTCCCAAGGTGCAAATTCCCAATACATCAGTGAGTAATATAAGTTATAAAAGTAAATTTAAAAAACTGATTCTAAAAATGAAGAACGCTTTTTTTTTATGGATCTCATCATCAGATCTTGACCACATTTAAAAAGGACCAAACTAGAGGTACCCCCTTTCTAACAGAGAAGAAATTGTAGAAATCGGACAACGTGGTAAATACTACTGAACATACATAAAAAAATATTCTAATGAATTGAGAACCACTCTACTCCTTTTTTGAAGTCTGTTAAAAAAATAGCAGGTAGGAACAGCATTTCGGAGACTGACTCTCGTACAAGTTAAAAACTCTAATCATCATTGTTTTAGGTATGTTGGCAGGAACTGGCCATAAGTAATGATTTTGTTAAAAGTATGGAATGTGGTGGATTGTTGAATTCAAAATCGTTTACATGATGTTTATGTACTGGAGGAGTTATATTAAATTAAATACAAATAATAAGTGAGGAGAAACTGTTCAAAAGTATGAAAAGAAGGGTGGTGAACATTTTGAACAGATACTGATATCCATCACCGATTATCATTCAACAGCCTTGGTCCCATTTTAACATAGACTGGGTGAAAATATCCTTTTAAATAAATTAGTTGATATACTTTTATAATTTAGTATAAATAATAAAAGAAACTTAAAACTTTTGTTTATTTCCATTGTTCAGGTTCCTAGTAAAATTCTGTAATTGTTAGAATAAGTTTAATTTGTATCTAATTTGGAATTACTAGTTTGAGCTGCAGTTAACTGTACAACTTTGTAAGTTATTTTGTCATGAATATATTTGATTATCACCTGATATTGTTCCCAATATAATAATTAACTTATTTACTGTATTTTCACAGTGCATCCCCATTATGGTATGCATTGTCTAACTAGTCTCAAAATAAGTCAATATTGTAAATCACACTAATTTCATTATCTTTTATTTGGACTTTAAGCTATGATACTCAAACTGAAATTTTTAATATTACAAAAGTGACTAGATTTTTTTGTGAGGAAATGGAGAAATTTTAAATGCAATTTTGAAAATACTTTTATTAAACTAACTACACTTAAACATTTGAAAAAACGTACGAACTTAAAAAATATTTTTGATATTACGGATACTACTCAAATTTATGAACTTTTTTTAAAAAATCTCTATCCGTCTTAGAACTCTTGGCAAGTTTTATCAATACTTAATTTCACCACCAAAATATCTTTTAGGATTTCCACACCTAGCTGCAATTTTTCTGTAGTCTAATTTCTTATACGAAGGGCAATGTATTCTTTAAGTTTTTTTTCTATATTAATATTAAGCCACTGATTTCCTGTGCCACCTCCGTTAAACATAGTTATTTTTTCTTATGTATTTAATGTATCAAAGGGGGGTACTTGTCATGAATGGGGGCCTCTGTCCCTCTCAATGGGGGACCTATGGTCACTTTAAACATTACAGAACAGATAGTCACAATTTTTAATTATAATGAATATGTAATTATTCAGCATTGTTGCTAAAAATCCAAAAGGTTTAATTATTTGTAAAGAGCTTTCTTAAAAAAATCACTTATTATTTTGATTTGACCACAGCACAGATCATTAAATTTTGACACCTGAAATTCGTAATCGAATCGAGGATAAATAAATAAGGATAGAATTATAATGTGGGATAAAGATGAACATATACCAGCTCTTCGAACCACCTGCGAAGGCCGGTTTCGTTTGGTTAATGTTCCGTGCATGTTGCGAGCGGTTGCGGTTGGTATATGACGTCATAGTTTCTAAATCGAAATCGAGTGGTTCCGATTTTGTCAGCGACCGCGAGGGACCACTCTAAATCGAAAACACCTATAGGTACCCAAGTATGTCACATTGACAACTGACATTGCACTCCGAGAGTGAAAGGAGTAAAATCATATGTCACTCCATTTACGCCGAATTACTCCATTCCACTCTGGAGTGCGCAGCCCGAACTCACCTATTAAAGTCAGTTCTAGAATGTAAGTGATCTGCGCATGCTCAGATGTCAAAATAAGAGCGGCACTAAAGTGACTGACCTCTGTGAACTTGATTCTCCAAAATTATTCTTAAAATTTGATTGGATTCTGTTAAAACAATGGACGTGAAACAAGAAATAAAACAAGAAGTCATCGAATATGAAGAGTTATTACCAAACATTAAAGAAGAAGGTAATGTTCGTGAGGTTAAAGAGTCTGATTTGTACGGGGACGTCAGTGATATCAAACAAGAAGCTTGTGAATTTGTGCAGTCTAAAACTGAGAGTGAACTTTTGTCTTTGACTACGCATTGTGATTTACCGACTTTAAAAGATGAAAATATTGATTTCCCAAGCCATCTGGATCTGTCTTACATCAGTAAACAAGTCAATAGGATAATCAAACCCTTGAAAGATACCACCAAACATGTTTCCAAGACGAGAAAGAGAAGATACCCCTGGCTTGTTTATCCGAAAAGTAAGTGAGCTTGTGTTCGAATAAAATATACATATGAATCATATCTGCCAGTTAGTATATTCATAAATAATAAACCTAATTATTTTGCATTTTACAATTAATTAGCATTAAGCTGGATTTATAAACTACTTTCAGTTGGCGCTCAGTTCGAGTTGACAAGACATAACCACAAATTCCACAAAATAAATTATATTTTGTTGTTATTTTTGTTTTCATTATATTTGTAGATGGTGTTGGTCATAAAATAATTATACAACTCAATTCTCACAGGTTTTTCTTCTCTGTGATATTGAAGTTGAGCATCTTCTAGGATCTCTTCATCTTTGCTTTCAGTTTCACTCTCGAATAAGACTGATTCTAGTAAAATGCAAGCTGCTGATGATGTTAGCAGTAGAGATAAACTATTATTATTGTCTACCATCATGATTTATGAAAAAATAGTGAAAACTCTAGGATGAGGAGCGATTCAACTACTTTTTGCACTTATGTATAATATAAATCTGTTAGAATTTTTTATCCAAAACATACTTACTGTGTCATTCTGCTTTGTTTATGTTGAACTCGAACTGAGCGTGAATTGTAAACTTTTTGTTTGCATGTCGGAAAAGGGCAGTTTGAATCAATATCATGGGACCAAACCAGACCAAACTTATAGTAAATGGATGTATTTTCCCATATAAATGCAAATCGCATAAAAAAACACATTTCCACCTCCTAGCTGATATGGAGTAGATGTCATCTGAAGTGTCACCTTCAAAAAAATAAAATATTTAGTTTTTCATTAAAACAGTTGGGTAAATGCAAGGGTAAATGTCTATTTTGAGCTCTTTTCCATTATGCAAAAACTAAGCATAAAGGTAGGTTTACATCTGACATTTATTGCATGAGATTTATGTCTGACAGTTGTTTAATCCAGTGTAAACATTCAAAAATATATCTCTCACTGGACTAAACAGATGTAAACGTACCTTAAGTCTTGGCATTGCTATTTTAAACAAAAAACCTAAGTTCCATATCTTGTGCAAATAAATAATGACAAAAATATTTATTTTTAAATAAAAATGTACCATTTTTCCATTGATTTTATCAATAAAGAAAGGAAGTGAATAGGGCTGCTGGGTGGGTAAAACAATGTCAATAGTTATATTAAATATTGTTGAGGCAAGGAATATCTCGAGGAAAATTTTTAGAAAGAATTGCTGTACTTTTGATACTAAATAATTGAATGGTAAACTTTTGTGCATCTTGGCAATAGTATAAGATGTAAAAAGTAAGCTTTGATTTGAGACAATTTGTGAAATATGTTCATTTAAAAAAATTTATTGTGTCATTATGAATTTGCAGAAGATATGGTACAAAGATTTTTTGTTTAGAATAGTGATACCTACAAGTATGTATGTTTAGTTTCTTCATAAGGGAAAAGATCTCAAACTAGACAATGACCATCAGTTGGAATCTACTTTATACAACATTTCAAATTTTTTGATAATAATATTTATTCAGCTTTGAGACATACATATTTACAATATTTTAAAAAGGTTACAAAATGTATTAACATATTATAAGACCTATTAGCCTTGTCAACACATACAATTTTAAAAAGTAGGGACATGCTACAATTGAGTTTAAAATAAAGTACAAATTAAAAATAGTATACAATAGAGCAAAAACATTAGACAATAATTATAATAAAGAGATACCATTAAGGATCATTAAGTATCATTCATAAATTCTGTAAGGAATAATATGTTTTGGATGAAATATATGCATAAAGCTTATTTTTGAATACATTAAAAAAAATTCATTACCATTGACTTGTTATATATATTTTATACTCCTGTTATATCTATTTATATTCTTGTTATATCTACTTATAGTTTAACGGTAGATCAATGCTCTTATTCTATTTATAAGTAGTTTAATTTGTTAGCTATGATTAATAATTATTTTCGAATATGTTAAAACCCACAAACAGGCCTGTTCTACTGTGGTCTTCTATTTACTACTAACATTTATAACTCCTTTTACTAATTTGTAATTCTTTTTATTGAGTAAATATATAGGTATTATTATTATCTATAAAACATGCATCACCTCTGTAAATTTTGGTATTCTGTCCAACTGAGAGTCTAGAGAAAGACTGCTGTGGATATTTATGATTGCCTGTGTTATAATTGTGTGTCTATAATCTGATAGTTGGGATTTATGTTTTTTTATATTAATTATTAGTAAGTATAAATACAAAGATGGAAGTGTTAGGATTTTAGTCATGAAAAAGTTGTTTGTAGCTAGTTGTTCTTGGAACCCCAGCCTTGCATCTTATAACTTTTTTTTGTACATAAAAGGCTTGCTCCAGACGAGCTGAGCAGCCCCAAAAAATTAGACAGTATGAGATAATTGATTCAGCCAAACCAAAATATGTTAATTTTAATGAGGCTGAAGCTAGCAGACAAACTGCGCGGCGGTCCCCAAATGTTTTGATGTTGTTATTCGGCAAAATCTTTGGTTTAGGTGGACTTTTTGAATTATACTAATGTATGGAGTCGTTCATATTAAAAATGTTATCTGAATTTTCGTGCTAAATATTGGTTTTTGTCATTTTGATAAAGTAAGGTTTATCCACGAAATCGCGCCATTTTAAAGACCTAAAAAACATATTTGGAGGTCTTGCTATGTAATGATTTATTGTGTTTTTGAATTATACTAATCTATTGAATCATTCGTATTAAAAATTATATCTAGAATTTCGTGCTAAATATTGGTTTTTGATATTTTGGTAGAATAATGTTTTTCCGCGAAACCACGCATTTTTAAAGATCTAAAAAATGTAATTAGAGGTCTTGCTATTTAATGATTTTTTATTTATTTTATAGCTAGTGGTGTACTAAATTATTGGTATGAAAATTGTATTTGTAATCTCATGCTAAATGTATTTTTTTGGACTCTTAATTCTTATAGTTGTTTGACGACAAAACACCTGACTTTAAAAAGACCAAAAAAAAAATATTTTAAATCATTGTTCGGCCATAATTTTTTGTTTATTCAATTAACAAAAACTTAATGAATATTTGGTATAAAATTTTTATTTATAATCGCATTGTAAATGTGTTTGTTTCTTTCCCGTCTTTGTGTAAGATTATCTTATTTTAATTAATAATTCAAATTGAATTAATCCATTTTTTTTTCAATAAATACACTAATATTTATTTATTTCTAAACTTTCATGATACTAAAGTCCACCTAAACCAAAGATTTTGCCGAATAACAACATCAAAACATTTGGGGACCGCCGCGCGGTTTGTCTGCTAGTTTGTCTGCTAGCTTCAGCCTCATTAATGTTAAAACATCAGGATTTACAGTGTTTTTTAACTACCTCATTAGAAAACATACACTACTTAGTTTATTTGATACATTATCTACATGGTTCTCCCACGTTAACTTGCTGTCCAGAATTAGATAAAAGAATTTGCTTGAATTTTTTTGTATCAATGATTGATGATTTAGTTTAACAAGATAGCTGAAGCTGTTTGTTATATTTTTTGGTAGAAAGATCATGATTTCAGATATTTTACATTAACATTTAAGCTGTGTGAAATACAATAATTATAAAATTCATGTGCAGCAATATATTGAAGTTCAGATGCATTTTTTGCTGATGTTCCAAAAGTTGTGTCATCTGCATATATAATTTTGGTATTTTGACTTGTACAAGATAGAGCTAAGTCATTAATAAAAACTAAAAATAAAACAGGGCCCAATATTGAGCACTGTGGTACTCCCGTACTATTTAATTTACTGCATCTGATGGTTACAACTTGTAAGGTTGTTTAAATATGACTGTATCCACTTATTTGGCGGGCCCCTTGTACCTATTTGGTACAATTTATCTACTAGCAGTCGATGGTCAATTAAGTCAAAGGCTCATGAGAGGTTGAAGTATAAGGTAATATTTAATTCCTTGTTAGTTAAAGATGTGTAAACAAAATCGAATAACTCCCCTATAGCACTAGATGTTGACTTATTTCTACGAAAACCATGTTGAAATTTAACCAAAAGTCTATTATGTTCTAGAAATTTAATGAATCTGTTATTATAGGCCATTTCGAATACTTTAGTCAGTTGACTTTGAATGCAGATGTTCCTATAGTTTGTCATGTCATTTACAGACCCTTTATTTTTATATATAGAAATAGAATTTATTCATCTTTGAGAATTATACACTATACAAAGACACTAGGTATATAATGTAAAATCCTATCAGACTAGTCAAAAAAGTGTTAAGTAAAATACATTAAAAAATAAAATATGTATATATAATAGACAATTCATGTTAAAATGTTTAAAAGTTCAAAAAATCTTCTATACTATAAAATGCATTATTTACAAGAAAATCATTACAACTAATTTGATGATAACCTGTAGTATCTTCTAATTTATTACTGAACTTATTGTAACACTTAATCCCAATATATTTTGGTGAATGCTGGCTTATTTGTAGTCATGAAAAAGGTTGATGGATGTTAAATTTTAATCTAGTATCCTATGAGTGCAGGTCTTTATTTTTCTTAAATATATGCTCATTATCTTTTATGTATTAAATTAGTTGAAAAATAAAAAGGGGAGGTAGTCTTAAAATTTGCGTATACTAATATCTTCAGCAATAAAAGACAATATTGTTCCATCTATTTCATCTATACCGGCAGATTTTTTTACAAGCGGAGGGTAGTTGGAGTTAAAAATAGAGTGCTTATAGAAAAATCTTGAAACCTTGCTTCACTGTTATTTGGTAGAAGATAGTCTACATCAGTAAACTTCACCACCCACTATAACAATGGTAACATTAATAAAAATGATGGTGTTGTAATTTTGGTCAGGTCAAATCTAAATGTAGAATTAAATACAGGGTGTTAAAAAAAAGTATCACAAAATGAAATGGTGAATAGTATGACCCAAAATAAGCAGAATAGTCTTAATAAATATATGACCGCAAATTAACGGTT